GACTTCTCGCATCCGATCGTCGGGGACGCAACGCTACCGGTCATCACACGTATGCCTTCACCTGTTTATATCTTCGAACTTTCTCCTCCGTAGTTCTGTTGTTGTTAGTTTGTGTAGTTTGTAATAGTTCTCTCGCGTAAGCTCATTTATTGTTTTTATATGTTTTTAGTTGTCTCATGTGTTGATGTATTTTGTTAGTTGTATTGAAGTGTTGTACTAGATCCCGTGTGCTGCAATATCACTAGAGTAAAGTTTGTTTTGTTGTCTCACGTCTCTGATCTCTTCACTGTCTCTGCTTGCGTACGGAACGAACTAACCTGCTGTCATTCCCGTCGCCGACTTCGCGCTGGCAACGCTAGAGTGGCAGCTTGTAACAGCTATTGATGCTTGATATCCGCGCGTAAGTACTTCAAGGAATGCAATGCATCGGCTACCTTTTTTACATTCTTATTTCACGCGGATAGTGAGAGGGCGGCCGTATTTTGTCTTAAATCTCGTTATCGAAGGTTTCTTTTGATGTATCGACGCATTGTAGTAAGCGGCAGTTTGGTGGCTTGCTACAGTGCAAAATCGTCGTGCGAAGTGCATCGTAGCCGTCGTAGTGTACGCTTCTGGGTAGCCTGTAGTGGTTAAACCAACGATCGCGAAAAAAAAGGTCGTGAAAAGCTTTTGTGGCTTCCTTATGTCACACAAAGCAGTAATAAATTCGGCATGTTCTCATCGACCAACTTTTAAATTTCTATTCACAATTTATGGGTATGCACGCGATAGTTTTCATTCAAGCAGCAATGACAGTTTGTCTCTGACGTGTGGTTTGCAGCCGTCACGACGCGACGCAGCAAGCTTGTCGCTTGGAAATCGCATGCATGCTGTTAGGGCTTAAGCATCAACGCTGTACTCGTCTACGGCGAGAGCCGGGTTCTTGGCGCTTCGCGATGATGGTTTTCGCATAATAAAATCACCAGTGCAAAGCTTCGCCTGGGCAACACCCATGCCGTACTATGCGGCTGATGGCAAAGGCAGCGTCGTTCTTGACCGAGTGGGGAGTGTTTGTATTCCGCTTGTATTCAGGAACATGAGACCTCAGCTCCATACGCGCCCTTGTGACCAGTCGTGGCCAAGATATCAGCGAACGGTAGATGCATTTGCATCCACAAACGAGATAACGTGTTCTTGTCTCTATAAAAAGAAGAACTACGACACCGACCCTACTCAGCAAATATTTGGGCATGGTTTCTTGCCATTTGTGTTGCGTTGCCTATCACACACTTTCTGCTCAACTGTGTTTTTTTCTAAAAAATAAATATAAAATTCGCAGCTTCCATAAAGCTGCTTTCTGAATTCCTTCAAATAAGAATATTTCACTACTTCAAAAAAAAAATGCGAGCGATATGCTATGGTGCTTGCTTTGCACGTGGGCTTGCACCACAGGCTGGTTACCTCTATAATGGAATAGGCAGGGAGCACAGCAATGATTCCATGTATTTTTCCTCCGCAAGTGCACCCATGAGAGTATCTCGAGGCTTGTGATAGCTTCGAATAAGGCTATGCTAGCCTATCTTTTAAAACGCTGTTCAAAAATAACATCATGGATGCTCGTGCGAAAACGTTCGTGTTGGATGCACTTGCAAAACCGGAATCGCACGTAAACGGACTACTTGGCGTAGTAAAATGAGCGAACAAGCTCCGCCTACGTATAGCTTTAGCTGTGATATGCCACAGAAAGTTGTCGTGACGTATAGCTCTTGCATCGACCGTTGCGTCCACTTCAGAGAGCAAGCGTCTATAGGGATGCGGTGGGCAGCTTCGACGGTGGGGTGTGGGCCTAAGGAGATTTGCCAAAAAGAGTTGTAAAAAACGGTATAGCCATGTCTTGCCTTGAGTTGGCTCTCTCGGAAGCGTTTGAGCACAACGCACAGCTTTAACGCACATGTTGCGCGTCTTTTAAATGTTGGTTATCCTGTTCGTCAGAAAAGAAGTCAGAAAATCTTTGGAGAGCATGCAAAGAGGCAAAGCTGCTGGTGAGGATCAGGTAACATCAGATCTGCTGAAAGATGGAGGACAAATTGTGTTAGAAAAACTAGCCACCCTGCTTACGAGGTGTCTCCTGACGGGAAGGGTACCAGAGTCTTGGAAGAACGCTAACATCATCTTAATACATAAGAAAGGAGATGACAAGGACTTGAAGAATTACAGACCGATTAGCTTGCTCTCTGTAGTATACAAGCTATTTACAAAGGTAATTGCTAACAGAGTAAAGAAAACATTAGAATTCAATCGACCAAATGAACAAGCAGGATTTCGAACAGGCTACTCAACAATTGACCACATTCATAATGTCAATCAGGTAATAGAGAAATGCTCAGAATATAACCAACCACTATACATAGCCTTCATAGATTATGAGAAGGCGTTTGATTCACTAGAAATATCAGCTGTCATGCAGACACTGTGGAATCAACGTGTCGATGAAGTATATATAAACATCCTGCAAGAAATCTACAGGGGATCAACTGCTACCATAGTGCTTCATAAAGAAAACAACAGAATACCAATCAAGAAGGGTGTAAGGCAGGAGGACACAATCTCCCAATGCTCTTTACCGCGTGCTTAGAGGAGGTTTTCAGAAGCCTAGAATAGGAACAGTTAGGGATAAGATTTAATGGCGAGTACCTTAGGAACCTGCGCTTCGCCGATGACATTGCATTGCTGAGTAACTCAAGGGACGAATTGCAACTCATGATTACGGAGTTAGACAAGGAGAGCAGAAAGGTGGGTCTTAAAATCAATCTGCAGAAAACGAAAGTAATGTACAACAACCTCGGAAGAGAGGAGCGTTTCGAAATAGGTAATGGTGCACTTTAAGTTGTAAAAGACTATGTCTACTTTGGGCAGGGAATAACCGCGGAGCCGAACCACGAGTTTGAAGTAACTAGAAGAATATGAATGGGGTCGAGCAGATTTGGCAAGCACTCTCAAATTATGACAGGTAGATTGCCACTATCCCTCAGAGGAAGGTATATAACAGTTGTATCTTTGCCAGTACTTAGCTACGGAGCAGAAACCTGGAGACTTACAAAGAGTGTTCAGCTTAAATTGAGGACGACGCAGCGAGCAATGGAAAGAAAAATGGTAGGTGTAACCTTGAGAGACAAGAAGAGAGCAGAGTGGATTAGGGAACAAACGGGGGTTAAGGATATCATAGCTGAAATCAAGAAGAAGAAATGGACATGGGCCGCGCATGTAGCGCGTAGACAGGATAACCGCTGGTCGTTAAGGGTAACTAACTGGATTCCAAGAGAAGGCAAGCGGGTTAGGGTGGACAGAAGGTTAGGTTGGCAGATGAGATTAAGAAGTTTGCGGGTATAAATTGGCAGCAGCAAGCACAGGACACGTTAACTGGCGGAACATGGGAGAGGCCTTTGTCCTGCAGTGGACGTAGTCAGGCTGATGATGGTGATGATGATGATGATGATGATGATGATGATGATGATGATGAGATCCTGTTCGTGCAGTGAGGATTGTCGCTGAAAATTTAAAAGCCCTTTATTTCAAGTCAGAGCATGGCCGCAGTGAGTTATTATGACGTGTGTCGTAGGTATACCGTACATTCGTTGCGTATCTCACAGGCTAAAGGAAGTTGGAAGTAGATACGGAGTTATGTTGTTTTGCCGGCTGCTAATAAACTAGGTAAGGTTTGCACCGGTGTGCGGATAAGGATGAGAAAGTAAAAGCTAACAAGCGGGCTGATATTTGTTTCGTAAACATTTTAGCGAAATTCGCCATTGCCTTACAAGTGTAGTGTATAAGGTCCCTTCCAGCTGTGGCCCTTCTACATGTAGACAGAATTAATCACAAATTTTTGGAACGCAAACCGGAGGCTCACATTCTAATTTTTCTTTACATTTTTGTGAATTTACGCCAAAATTTGATCAATGCGCAGTTTTGTAGGAATGAAAAAAAAGGAAAACACTTCTGATGACTGAGTATATGTACCGGTTACGCATGCGTTAGCCTACTGTTGATTAACTTGCATAAGGATGAAGTATATTGGCTCAACAGTTATTTTCAATGTGGACCACGTGTGTCAATACCGCATGGGCATGCGCAGAATAGTTTTCGTTACCACTGTTGTGCGCGTCTTGAGTGACCTCCTTCCTGTGCCCTGTCTTTTTCAGAATGATGAGCTCTTTGTTATTACAACCACGTACACGATGGGATCACTGACGTACAATATCTTAGCCATTCTAAGATCTTCAACTAATTACAGATCATTCATACCACGGCACACCTTTGGAAGAAACTATACCCACATGCGTAACAGAACCGCAGTCTTTTACCCGTTATAAAACCGACCTACTTTATTTCATGCTCTTGTTCCTTTTCTGCACGAAGGGAACATCTCGTGTTTCTGGCGTCATAATTATTTTTCACGCACTCTATTATTTGTAGACCAGAATATTTCATTTCGTTTACATTTATTGGCGTAGTTTTGAAAAAAAAAAAACCTTGGTGAAATATCTGGGGGAAAATAGCTCACGGATTAGTTGAGAGTGTCCTGGCCGACCTCCCCACCGGTATGTCATTGCAAACGGTGGTTACAAAGAGAGAGAGAGAGAAAAAGAATGCCCACATAATATATGGCTCATGGCTCATATGCATGCAACAACGAAGCGTGTTTGCTCAGACGACGAAAGAAATCTTTAAAAAAAAACCTTCCTACGACAAAGAACGCAAACGAAAACGAATAGACGACAATGTCTGCAAGGCGCGTTCATGGTAAGCAATTATGATTAACAGTCTCCGTAGTTTTCTCATTGAGATTTGTATAATGTTAGAAAGCTTACCTTTCCTAATTAGCAATGTTGGTTAATTAGCAATTGAACATGACCCTTTACAACTGCTTCATATGTGAGTTTCGTGCCTCTGCCTTTATAATATAACGGGGGTAGACATCTCCATGTGAGTAATGAAAGAATCGAAGTGAACTGATTGCTGACCTTTCCATTGCTCCAGCCTGTGATGAGCTCTGGCTTCCCGTCGCCGTCGATGTCATATCCGTGCAGGCACACCGCTTGACTCTTCGACTGTACTCCCAAAAGAAAGAAATTCGCGCAGACGGAATTCGTGAATCGATTTCAACCAGCCATTCATGTTACGTACGATCTGCGGCAGCAAGCATTCCTAAAAGGGCCCTGAAACACTTTTTCAAGTAACCATGGAATTAATTGAATTGGTATGTGGGGTTTAACGTCCCAAAACTACCATATGAATATGAGAGACGCCGTAGTGGAGGGCTCCGGAAATTTCGACCACCTGGGTACTTTAACATGGAATTAATTCACTGGAAGAGTTTATTGCCTCGCGAATTCAACGCACCGCAAAAATTTTAGGAATTCGTTCAGTGCGAGTGGAGTTACAAAGGTTTGTCGCATGCTGCAATTGCATTCTTTTTTTTCCGTCCTGGCGAAGCACTGGAAGATTAGCAGGGAGGGATGGGAGGGCCACAGAAAAATGTCACGCACGCCTCGTGACCTTGAGCACTTTTTTCTTCGAATGCGTGGCTTTTTCCAGTGTGATCGCGCGCGCACGCGTCGACAAGTAGCGGCTTCCCGCGGTGATCTTTGTAACGAGCGAGCGCGCCATGTTCAAATCAGCCAATGGCTGATAGATGGGCTTGCTACGTGTGATTTTTGGGCATATTCTGTGATTTGTCGAAAGAAGAGAAATAAACTTTTAGCTGATTTTGATAATTTATTGTGAATTCCAGGCCACGTGCTGCGCTGTAATATATGGCTCGCGTGCGTGTTGTCGGAGCCTCTACTACTGATCGGCAGCGTTTTTCTGACCATGCTCAAAAAGTGTTGCAGGGCCCCTTTAACACTGCAGTGCAAGTGTCGGCTAAGAAGAGAAAAAGAGAAACTTTAAATGTTCATAAATCGCGGCATTGCAAATTGTCGGACCCTTAGGCCCTTGCCATCATCTCTACCCGTTTGACTATCCAGAGCTGAGCTGATCAGAAGTGCTCTCCTCCCCCCCCCCCCCCCCATTGTTCCTTTGTGTTTTTCATGTTTGGCCAAGGAGATAAAAAAAATGTTGCTATAGCGGAATCTCCCGTAATGTCTTGCTGCAGCGAAACTGCAGCCAGCGTTTGCCCTCCAAAGATCTCGGAAACATGCTCTTTTCTCCACTTATATATGAAATGGAGTGTCTTTGATCTGAATGGTGCTTTAATTATAAAATAAAAAAGATTACCGACAGAATGACACATCGACACGAGTATTGGTGGCTTCACTAAAATTTGTCGAGGCTTAGTGTATATCACGCACTGTATCTCAGCCGATTTTAATCTCTGTGGCAAATCTCTTGAGACCGGGAAACACTGCATGCTTCGCCCCTCTCACGTATGAGCTATGTAGTACAAGTCTAGTATAAATGATAGCGTGCTTCTATTTTCTTCCCGCGTTGACCAAGCGCATTTTCGAAGGAGAGACACCTTGATCCTCCAAAGGCGCTCTGTGGCTCGGTAGACGCCGATCGTTCCGTTGGCGAGTGCGTAGGCGAAGCAGTCCAGCGTCAGCGGGCACAGCGCCGTCACGGCCTCGCTCTCGCCGATCTCGGCCACGATCACGTCACCGCGGAACACGCGGATGTCGAAGTCCTCCGAGCCGACGAGCAGCTGCAGCCATGGTCTAAGGTTATATGGAAGAAAGTTCGTGTGTTTGTGGGGAGGCGAGAGAGACGGGCTCACCTCATTCAGGCCGTCTTTGTTGAAGTCGTACAAGGCGAGCGCCCGCACGTTGTCGCCGGTCACCTGCGAAGGTAACATTTCAGTGTTTAGGTGCATGACCGGGATTTTGGGGGAAATTAGAGTTTCTGTAAGTGCTCCCAATGCTGCCTAAAGGTAACTCAAGTAACTTCAGTGGGCATTAGGGTATCTGAATGGTTTCGCTTGTGGAGGTCTCGATATGGCGAGCGAGCGTCACGCTCGTGGAGTGAATGGACACAGCATACGCGGTCAGCACAAACCAGCTACAACACACATTTACTTAACTACTTTTTGATCGACGATATCGTCAGCCGAATTATTATAACATCAATCGTGATCAGCACGCTAAGACATCCTTACACAATATTACCATACGTCAGTGACTAGACACGCTTTGTCACGATGTTGTGTTATTTTCTGTGTATTCCATGTTATTGATGACCGCCCTATTACTTTTTTGAAGTTTGTACCCCCCTTACTCAATGCTCTCATTGAGCTTGTAAGGCATCATAAATAAATAAATAAATAATAAATAAATAAATAAATAAATAAATAAATAAATAAATAAACATGACAAACAGAAACACACTCAAGGTGGCGTCGCCCACGCTTGACTCACAAGGAACACGGCAGACAGCCCACAGTGCCGTGCACCGGGGCCATCCCCGCGAGACAACCGTTTGCGCCAAAATGCGACCAGAAGACTCGCGCAACTCTCTCTGCCGCCAACTTGCCTGCCGCCAGTGGTCACTGCCGGTGCTAAGGTTTTTAACCATGATGATGATAGTGGTGATCACGATGGATGGATGGATTGATATGACTGTATCCTTTGGATTGGGTGGAGGCTAACGCCACCTAGCCGAAATACTTACTGAACCAACAATCAAGAACTTTTTTCTTTATTTTTCTTTTTTTCCCCTTTAAATAGTGAAGTGAGGATTGGTGCTTTGCAGTGAAGGATTTAATTTCACTCGTGCCTTGATTTCAGCCACCAATCATATAACCTCCGTCTAGTTATTTCTACCCGCTTAAAGTCTATTTTGCCGTCGCTGTCCTTAAGCCCCTGTGCTTTGAAAAACTCTGCGCCATCATCTTGAACTATAGGTGAAGCCCTTCACAGAACATCAAATGTATATACCGTGTCTACACCTTCTTATTTGGTCCGATATGTCTTGGGTCGCAATACTTCCGTCCTGGCCTCAAATAGTAGAGAACTACCCTGAGTATTATCATAGATCATTTCCTCGGCATTTACTGCTTAAAAGTTCGATAGATCTCTAGTGCGGACTTCTTAATCATGCCAATTCTCCACATGTCGGTCTCAGCTTTCTTCACCTTCTTCTTAACCGATAATTCTTTTTGGTTTGGCCACCTGCTGTTTTCGAAGTATTTACCAGCCAACTTCCTGGTTCGCTTCCTCCATTTTGTATCGACATTCTTCATGTACAAGTAGCTGAAAACCTTCCTAGCCAAGCGCTCCTACCCATCTCTCTCAATCGCTTCTCAAATTTTATCTTGCTGCTAGCTTTCCTGCCCTCAAATGATGTCCATCTCATATCACCTTGTACTGCCTGATTTGGTGTATTCCCGTGAGCTCCTAAAGCAAGCCTACCTATTGCACGTTGCTTAATTTCTAATCTTGCTTGAACTTCTGATCTCATGCACAAGACCGCATTGCCGAACGTCAGACCAGGAACCATGACCCCTTTCCATATTCCTCTCACAACATCATACCTATAGTAGTTTCCACAGTGCCCTATTTTCATGACTGCTGCATTCCTGTTACCTTTAGTCGTCTCGTATATTTCGTGTTTCCTCAGGTACTCGGTCCCATTGCTTATCCATACGCCCAGATATTTGTATTTGTCTGTTATTTCTAGCGTGACCTCCTGTATTCTAAGCTCACTACCTTTGTTGTCATTGAAAATCATGACTGCTAATTTTTTCCTACTGAACCTGAAATCTGACTTATCTCCCTCATTACCGCAGATGTCCATCAATCTCTGCAAATCTTCCTTGTTGTCGGCCATTAGCACTATATCATCTGCGTACCTTAATGCTAGCTGGTAGTGCCTGTTCAATGAGTTTTCCTTGTTTGATGAAAGAGAGGTTGAAGCCCAGTCCACTTCCCTCTAATTTGGCCTCTAATCCTTGTAAGTACATCATGAATAACAGGGTGACAGAGGACACCCCTGCCTAAGCCTCTGTTTCACCTCTGTGGGCTTGGATACTTGTTATTCCCACTTTATAACTACCTTGTTACTTTTATAGATTTCCTTTAAAAGAGTAGTGACTCCATCTTCCACACCCAGTGTGTCTAGTATTCCCCACAATTCCTCTTGAACCACGCTATCGTACGCTCCCTTGATATCCAAACATGCTAGCCACAGGGGCCCGAGTTCCTTTTCTGCTATTTCGATGCACTGCGTCAGTGAGAACAGATTGTCTTCCAACTTCCTGTGTTTCCGAACCCATTCTGCAGTTCCCCCAGCACCCTCTCATCCTCTATCCATGCCTACAGTCTTTCCTTTATAATCTGCATCGCCAGCTTGTAGACCACTGATGTCACTGTTATAGGACGGTAGTTGTTTATTTAGTTTCACTTCATTTCATTTATTCAACCGTAAGGGCCCGAAGATATTACATAAGGGGGGGAGGTCGTACATCCAGGTTGTAAGTTCCTAGGCAATGTAACAATAAGAGGGTACACACTGATTACAATGAATGAGCAAATAAAGAACACAAGCGGAAATAACAGGCATAACAAAACATAAAAAATATAATAGGCGATAAATAAATTCTGGGAGTACAGTAAAACAACTATAAACGCAAGAGTTAATGTGCTGTTAGGACATCGTATTTGGATTTTGGAAAAGAGTTAGTTTTTCGCGAAAATTTGAGCGGTCCCTGCAAGAAACAATGTTATCTGGCAGTGCATTCCAGAGTGTTACGGCATGGGGGGAAAATGAGCTGCTCATCGCTGTCGTCCGGCATTTTATGGTCATCAGAGGGTGCGTATGGGACAGGCGAGAGGACGTTTTTAATGGGCATTTTGGGAGAGAGTGTCCTGACCTGCTAAAGGAAAAGAATGTGTGAAGGAGGCAGATACGAGAGGTTATGCGACGTAAAGCGAGCTATGCGAGTGACAACGTTTGTTTTAGTGCGGTTACGCTGATATGCCTTGAATATTGTGACGTAATGAAACGAGCTGCGTGATTTGAACGGCTTCCAAATCATCGGTGAGATAAGCTTGTGAAGGATGCCAGATGGATACGCATACTCGAGTTTGGTCGCACGTATGTCAGATAGGCGAGTTTCTTTATGTCAGGAGATGCAGATCGCAGGTTACGTCGTAAGTAGCCTAATGCGGGAAGCTTCAGAACGAATGGTTTCAATGTTGTTCATCCATGATAGTGATGATGTCAGATGAACTCCTAGATACTTGTAAGTACGCGTGTGATCAATGGGAACCGAATTAATGCAGTAGGTTTTATGTGAGGTGTTGTGTTTACGTGTGAAGGACATGACCTTGCATTTAGCGAAGTTTAGGGGCATATGCACCATGAAGTGATAGTGTCAAGGTCGTGTTGTAGAGTGATTGCGTCGTTAAAGGAGTGAAGGGGGTTATAAAGAACGCAGTCGTCTGCAAATAGGCGCAGTTGTGATTAATGTCACTAGGAAGGTCATTCACGTATATAAGAAATAATAGAGGTGATAAGCCGGCGTCCTAGGGAACACCGGAAGTGACGCTGGTAAGGGCTGATTGGAAATTGTTAGCAACGGTAAACTAAATGCGTCCTGTTAAGAATGCTCGAAGCCATTTTATAAGGTATGGGGGGATACCAAGAGCGGATAATTTGATGAGCAGGTGCATGTGGGGTACGCGATCGAATACCTTGGAGAAATCTAAAAAAAAATGTATCTATTTGTACGTGATCATTCAATCGCAGTAGTATGCCATTATTAAATTCAGCCAGTTGTGTTTCGCAGAAAGATACTTTCGGAAACAATGTTGAAAAGAATAGAAAAAAAACTGATTGATTCTAGGTAAGACAGGAGAGTTGATGCTATAATATGCTCAAGGATTTTAGATGGGACTTTAGTTAAGCTAATCGGGTGGTAGTTAGCGGGGCTTTCGCGCCGGCCTGCTTTAAAAAATGGGGACTATTTTAGCTTTCTTCCAATCTTCTGGCAAGGTTCCTGTGTTTAAAGATTGGTTAATTATAAGGTACAAAATGTGCTAGAGTGTGCTATAGTGTTTTTTAATAATTTGGAATTGATGTCGTCGCAGCCAGCCGAGGATGATATTTAAGAGAGTTGATTAGGTTGCATATGCCATCCCAGGTTTACTTGTATGTCAGCTTATCCCCCTTTCCTTTGTAGATCATGCTCATCCTGCTAGTTTCAATCCATCGAGAACTTCACCATCGATTATTATTTTGCTCACTGCCTCTCTCAAAGCCTGCTTAGACTTCGGACCTAATGTCTTTATCAGCATAATTGGAATGCCATCTGGACCTGTTGATGTACTACTAGGAACCCTCTTCTCAGCCCTTTCCCACTCTCGTTGTGAAAATGGAGCCATTGCGCCACTTGATTCATCCTTGTATATTATGGTACATAAAGCACTTTTTTGTTGAAATTTTTCTGTCACCCTTGTTCTTATATATTCAATGGCATCGTCCCCTTTTAGCCTAGTACCTTGAGCTGTAGTTATAAACCTCTGCTCTAGGCTCGTCTCATTTTCTTAGAGAGTTTAGATGGTTAAAAAGTTTCGCAGTTGCCTTCCTATCTTTTTAATGTACTTCTGCCAGCCACTGAGCTCCCTTCTAATCTTTTCATCGATCAAAAAGGATGCATCCCATCTACAGTTTAGAAAGATTTCCCATTTTCCTTCAACATCATCTGTCGGTTCACCCCGCTGCTTAGCATGTCTGTGTTCCCTAGAGGCTTCGTGACGTTTTGCTATGGCGCTCTTAACTTCCTCATCCCACCAACTTTCGGGTTTGTGTCTTTTTTTCCGGGGTGACTTGTCACGTGCCTTA